AGTAGATTGTATTCATTACTGGGAAGTTATAGCAAAATCCTGTTTTGTTTATATCTTCGCGAATGCTGCTTATTTCTGGATTTAAAATGGAAAGTGTGATGTCTTTTGACTGAAAGTGAATGCTAGTGAGATTCTGGTTGTGAAGTCATGGAATGTGATGTAGAATATTTCCAAAGTGATTTGGCATAGTTTTGAATCATTACTTTGAAGTTACACAAAAATCCTGTTAGATGTATATCTCACTGATTTTTTCAATTTTGATACTGAGATATCTTTTGACTGCAAGTTAGTACCAGCGTGATTCTTTCTGACAAGTTAGGGGATGTGCTAATTAACACTTTGAAAGTCATTTGACGTGGATTGTATTCATTACTGGGAAGTTATAGCAAAATCCTGTTTTGTTTATATCTTCGCGAATGCTGCTTATTTCTGGATTTAAAATGGAAAGTGTGATATCTTTTGACTGAACGTGAGTGCAAGTGAGATTTTGGTTGTGAAGTCTTGGAATATGATGTAGAATACTTCCAAAGTGATTTGACCAATTTTTGAATCATTCCTTTTAAGTTACACAAAAAACCTGTTTGATGTATATCTCATTGATTTTTTTTAATTTTGATACTGTGATATCTTTTGACTGCAAATGTAGTGGATTAATATCCTGTAATAATTAATCTTGTAATGCTTGTTAAAAATGATTAGTTGTAATCAGTGTTGGGGAGTAACGGATTACATGTAACGACGTTACGTAATTTAATTACAAAAAAAGAGTAACTGTAATTCGTCACAGTTACAATGAGAAAATATGTAATTGAGTTACAGTTACTTCCGAAAATTTTAAGAATTACAAATTTTGTTACATTTTAAAAAAAAATATAAAGAAAAACCTTTGCAAAATATGCAACTCACTGATAGACGAAGCATGTTGATTTACTAATATTTGACTGTTAGGTGTTGATGCCTGACAAACGTTTATCGATGTCTATGACCTAGCCTAGCCTAGCCTACCCAACTGTAGGGTGACCAGACGTCCTCTTTTTCCCGGACATGTCCTACATTTCAGACTAGGGTTGTCAAAAGTATCGATACTTAAAAAAGTATGGATACTAAAATGTTGTATCCGGATACGACTGACCTGCCGTCGCTGCGCCCCTTGTCTCCGATTTATTTATGTATTTATTTACGTTTGTGAAAATGTGATGTAGAACACTTCCAAAGTGATTTGGCATAGTTTTGAATCATTACTTTGAAGTTACACAAAAATCCTGTCTGATGTATATCTCACAGATTTTTT